GACAAAATAATGCAATGGGAACATGCAAGAACTACATTTGCATTCTTTGAGGGATGGGTTTCTGTCCTTATTCCAGGATCAGAGCAAAGGACAAAGGAAGAAAGAGTTTATCCTTCTTTCTCAAGATAGCTGATCAAACTTTCTTCTGGGAAAAACTCTTCATCTTCTTTTCCCTCTCAGTAGCTCTAATTCTCTATCTAAATTCTCAAGTATAAGTTTTCTTTAAATCTTTTCCTCACATTATTTCTAAACATATTTACCAAGGCTCCAGCATTATATCCTTGGTCTCCTCATTGGTTGAACTGAAGGAACTATCTCAAGTTGTGGTAGTTTCTGTATTTCTTTTTTGAAATCATTTCTTTGACCAATTAAATGATTTTTTCAGATACTCTGAATCTCTCAGTACTAGAAGAAAGCACATATTCATCCACTTACAATAGTAATTCTATTGACAAATTATTCTTGTCACAGTAGAATGGAGACTTAATCATTTTCAGTGGGGACTGAATATTAGATGAAATCATAGTGATATAAAAGGGTGGAAGGTAAAAATATAGAAAAGGTGGAAATATGGTTCTCATCTATGCTGGGCATCAGGATTAAAGAACAGTGATTTGGGGAAAAGTTAGTTTCTCTTTAAATTCTCCCAGGAAAACTTGCTTTGTCTCCACTTAACAACCATTGTTCATAAATATGGAATGTATTCTCTTCGTTAGGAATCATATGGGCCTTAGTAGATTTCTCCTACCCACTAACCTCCTACCTATCAGATCATGATTAACTCTTCCCAATTTCCTCACTCAGCTCTGCCTCCCTCAAGAAGAGTGTGGCTATCGATCCACTTGTCAAATGGGAAATATATTGATCCGAAGGGACTAATGAACCCTCAATTAACAGACTTAATTCAATGCCATCCCCTTAGATCGGGCTGTCTTCTACAAATCTATGATGACAAAAAGATCACTTCATAAACATACCTGTGAAGATGCTCTAAGGAAGAGAGCTGGAGGTCTTCAGCCCCAACAGTACACAAACATTTCACCCATACTTTTTTGAAAATCGCACTTTCCATAATTCTCAAGACTTTCTTTCCGCATTCTCAGGACTTTCCTCCTCTCATGCTGAGACTATCAGGCCACAGTGGAGAAAAGGTAGCAGCAACCTTGTTGGTATAAGTTACTTATTTTACATACAAGTAGCACTGTTACCTTTCAAATGGAAAAAAAAAACAACAACTATGCACAAAGTTGAAGAATCTTAAAGTATGAGTTTACCAGTTTAGTAAGTCAATTCCATTTGGCTTAATGTTGCCTTTAGAGCTTGGTAAACAGTGAAACTCAGGAGCCCTAGAGCACTTTTAAAAATTTTTATCTGCCTCTGTTGCTCCTTAAGAGCCCTCAAACTCTGGGTTTGATGTTCCTGGACCTCAAAGGGAATCTCCAGGATAGGCAAGTTCTCAATGTGTTGTATTGTCAGCACCTTCACTCTCTCTTCAGACTATCCTAGCCATCTCTGAAGATAGACTGCAACATCCCTGGCCTTTCTTGTTGCCCTATCTTATTACTTACAAATGGCAATCTAATTGGCTGTCTCCTGAACACTACGCATTCCTTAGCTATCTCACTTTGTCTGATGAATTTATCTTCATCTTTTCTGCAGATTTGATTCATTTGTGTTTTCCCTAAAGGAACTTAATTATGTTATCTCCTTATTTAGAGCCTCTTTGGATTGAGGGAAGAAGTAGAGGATAGCAATGCTTAGTGACATTAACTGCAGACTAATTTTTATTCTGTTAATGAATCCCTAGATAACCTCTGGAAAGTCAGTGAGCTTCTTTCAGCCAAAATTTCTTCACCTTGAAAAACTGGGAAAAGAACAATGTACCCCTTAAGGTGACCATGGGGAGTAATTAACAAAATGAAATTAATAAAGTGAAAGTGATGTATAAACCAGAGCATTCATGAGGATCACAGGAATATTTTTCCTTCTTCATAGGTTAATTGAAATATCTCTTAATTTGGAACGTGAGCATTTCTATAGGGTGGGGTGAGAGGAAATCTCTGAATTTGTTAATGAGTTTGCTTTTTCAATGTTTTATGTGCCAGGTGCCCATAAGGAAAGTAATATTAGCACCTTCTACAACATCGACTGTTTCCATATATCTTTTTCCTTTTATTTATGTCTTGACTAAGAGTCAGGGCTGATTTCATGATCAGATCATGGGGAAAAATTTCTACTCCTGTCAAAAGTTATTTTCCACATTCAGAAATGACAACCACTTAAATCCTCACCAATAGAAATTTATTCCTTTGATTCTCAAAGACTTTTGGTTCTTTAGTAATTCCTAAATACACACTTTTATAGATGCACATTGTAGTATCTTTCATATTCAAGTATGCATGTGTGCATACTTAAACGGAGGTAAGAAAAGTAATCAATTTATGAAAGGATATGTATGTGTGTATGCATATATATCTGAAAGTCTCTACTTTATGTATCTTCCTTGAGTCACTAATTCATACTAATGTTAGAGAAATTGAGGAATTAGACAGAAGGATGGAGGCCCACAAACAACTTAACTAATTTTGGATTCACTCATTCTTGGTTTTTTGTTGTTGTTGTTGTTTGTTTGTTTTTTGTGGTAGTGCTGTCTGAGGAACAAACCCAGGCTTTGGGCATGCTAGGCAAGTGCTCTACCCACTTAATTATTTTAAAAGAACTTTTAAATTTAGAATTGATTTAGATTGACAGAAACATTGTGAATATAATACCGAGTTCCTGTGCACCTAATTTCCCCTAACATCTTATGATAGTGTGATGTCTGTCTTGTAATTAATGAACCAATAATGATGCATTATTGTTAGCCAAAGCCCTTACTTGGAATTTCTTCGGTTTTACCTTGTTTGCTTTTTCTGTTCCACGATACCATCTAGTATACCACATTACCTTTATTCACCAAGTCTCCTCTTGGCTGTAAGAGTTCTCAAACTTTTCTTGTTTTTGATGAACTTGTCAGTTTTGAAGAATACTGGCCAGTATTTTGTAGAATTCTCCTCAGTGAGGGTTTCTGGATAGTTTTCTCACTATGAAACTGCATTTATGGGTTTTGGAGAGGAGGATCACAGTGATTAAATACTGTTTTCATCACATCATGCATGTCAAGGTATATTTTATCAGCATGACTTATGATCAAGACTGTGTCAAACTGAAAAGGCCATGCCCCTTTTAACTGGCAGCTGCTGTGGAGCTACATCTGATGCCTGTCTGTTCAGGGGAATCTTGCATAGTACTACCTGATCTTGACTTTTTTCCCCCAGAGGTAGAAATATTACTGTTTATGTGAAATATCCAACTTTTACAGATTGACAACGAATTAAAATTTAAAACACAATGGTGTCACACTTTTGTCAAATAAAGTAAAATATGTCTGTGGGCCAACATGAGTCTATGGCCACCAATTGCAATATGGAAATTATTAAAGTTTTAAAACAAGAAAGAGGCATAATCATTTTTAAGTCAATTTGCTCTGACTTTTCAAATCATTTTTAGTAGGCAGGTGTGGGGAGACATGAGTGGAAGATAACAGAACAGATCAGCCTTGCTTTTATCACTGCAAGATATCAGGAAGACTTGAGCTAAGGTATCTTTGATACATATATCTGTGATATCAAAATACAGTGCTCACTTCGGCAGCACATATACTAAAATCAAAACACAGAGTGGGCAAAAGTATTGAGACAAGGATATATATTGCAAGACATATCAGTTACAACTCGGAGATTGGTGGTAGATTTATAGTGTGGCAGTGGGGGAGGTGTCCAAGACAAATAATAAGGGTTCTGTCATAGAGACTAGAGGAACAGGATGCCATGGTCTGAGGTCAGGAAGTACAGAAGGAGCACGTTTTGAGGAGGGAACAAAAGAATCTCTGAGTTGTCCAGTTAGATACACTGAATAAGTAGCTAAAAATACGAATCGATATCTGAGAAGAGATTCGGGGCCCAGAGATCTACATTAGGACATGTCTTCAAATTGCAGGTGAGAGCTGCCCTTACAATGGAGCCTATATTTTAAACAATGAGAAAAATAAAGTTTTTTAATGGGGGTAGGTTCAGAGAAAAGAGGGCCAGTAAAAGGTGACTATAAAAATGTAACTTGTTCAACCATTTCTCTCCATCATCATGCCTTAAAAAGATTAGATGTTAGTACTTGACATTTCTATGCTTGCTTCCTCAAAACAATCTCAGCTTTTGGTTTCTGACCTGCTCACCCTTGTCTTTAAATGCTTTCTATCTTTCAGAGACTCCTTTCCATCTTGCCACTGGGAGTATGGCAAAAATCCTTATTCTTTTTCTTTCTAATAATTTATTTTCTCTCCTTGCCTTGTTTTATTGTTTTTCCCAACCTCTAGATGGAGTTTAGGTGGAGAACTGAGCTCAAACTTATGCTTAGTTCTTTACAGACTATGTGGCTTTGGATAAGTGTCTTAATCTTATTGACATTCAATATGGTTATCTATAAAATAAAGATAATATCACCTCCTGGTTTGGTTGTGTGGATTAAAAGCCTTAACATAGATTTACCCATTCTTGTGCCTGGCCCTGTGCTGGTTGTCCATAAATAAAGACTCAATCCTTATTCCTGCTTTTTCCTATCCCCTAGTACATTGTTTATGGCTCTGCTGTCACTGCATGTGTGCATTCTTACATTTTCTTTCTTTGCAGACAAGGAATGAGATGTATTTGAATTTATGTTATGCCTTCTTTGTAGATACACAATGAAGGCTCAGTAAATAACCATGAAAATACTTATATGTGTGAACATTTACTAGGAACCATTTCTGTAAATATCTGGAACACTGAAGAGAAGATCTTCGGAGGAAAGAACCCTGCTCATGATGTTTTTTGGTTTTGGGGATTTTTCTGTACGGGGGATTGAACTCAGGACCTTGTGCTTGAGAGGCAGGCACGGTGCCACTGAGCTAAATTCCCAGCCCTCCTGCTGAAGATTTTTAAATTGTATTGTAATGCAAAGAAAATATGGAAAAGGGAAATCTTATCTTGATTACGTGAATCAAAAGAAAGTAAGATCCTCAGTGCTAAGTCTTTGGGGCACAATTATAACACCATGGGCAGTGCTCCTTTGTGAGGTAAATATTAAACCAGGCTATCGCTGAAAGGAGCAGCACCTTAACCGACCCACTGCGTAACTAAGCTGAAATCCTGTCCCTGTGGCACCTGTGGCCAGGAGATGGAGCATGAATCACAAGGGCCTGGCATTAGGCCAATGCGGAGTCAGGCCGTGACTGACTCCTGAACCCTTGCCTGATGTGCTTTTCTAAATCACATTTCCCAAACAGCCTGCCCACTGTGTTCTATTTTGGTTCAGCTCACTTCCATAAAGATGAAGAATGCAAAAGAACTACTCCCTTCTAAAGAAAATTGGTGTCAGGGCATCAAAGGGAGCAGTGGTCTAATAGAAAAAGAGTTGAGAGGAAAGAATGAGGAGGCAACTTAGCAAGACCCTGCCCTTTGGGCCAGGGATGGAGCTCAGTGCAAAGGCCCTGGGTTCAATTCCCAAATACCTAAATGAATGAATGGGTGAGTTCAAGGTGTTCGACCCCGAAAGCAAAGGCGTGCTGAAGGCTGACTACATCCGGGAGATGCTGGCCACGCAAGCAGAGAGGTTCTCCGAGGAGGAGATGGACCAGATGTTTGTGGCCTTGAACGTGTTGAGGATGGCCTCCTCGGGGTCTGCGCCCTTCAGCTTCTCCCCAGACATGGTCAGGAGCACAGTGAAGTTAATTTGCCCCGCAGCCTCCTTGAGCATTTCATCAATTTCTTCATTCTTCACATTCACACGCCCCAGAGCAGCAAACGTGTCCCTCAGGTCGTTCTTGTCGATGAAGCCGTCACGGTTCTGGTCCATGATGGCGAAGGCCTCCGTGAACTTCGGGATCTGGGTCTGCTCGAATATGGAGAACACGTTGGAGTTGGCCCCCTCCGCCCCCTCCTTGGCTTTCTGGGGGGGCCTGGGGGACAGCGGCGGTCGGAGGAGCCCAGCCTGAGGCCCGAGTCCAGCCGGCAGCTGCATTTGGCAAGGTTCCCCCAAAGCCCAGCGGCACCGCGCAGGACTGACGGGTCGGCCTCTCGTGGCCGTGGTGGAAGCCGAGACGAAGGACCTTTTTCTGGGGTTTCGACCCATCTGCGCCACTCCCCTCCCCAACTCACCTTTGATCCACACGGGAGTGAGGGCTCAGTGAATGTCCTCGCCATGGAGAGCACGGAGCAGAGCGAGGTACCAGTCTACCCCCGCCTACTTTTTCTTTTTCTTTTTTTCCCCACTTTTAAGATTACAATGTTTAATGTTTTTCAGGTTAAATTTCTACAGCTAGCAGGATGACACGAGTGACTAGGACTTGGACCACATAGCAGGGAATGTTTACTGGGTGATCCCAATCACACCACAAGCCAGGCAACTTCCAGCCTTTCCGGTCTTTGTACTTTCTTCATTTTCACCTTTGTCGAGGTCATCTCCGTTTTCATGGATCACCACTGTGCGGCTAATGATGGAATTTGGTCCAAAAAGCGAGATCACAGAATCCTCAATGCATACATTGGCCACACCATCTGATTGTAGTCTCCATTTCGCCATAGAGTAAAGTCTAATCTTGGGCAAATTGCTAATCTGTCTTGAGTCTCAATTTCCTCATCTGCATAATAGGGGTGCTAATTAATGTTTTGCCACCTTCCCAAGAATCTTGGTAGGATCAAGTCCACTAATGGAAATTATTTAAAAGTGAGTTCCCTTTAATTCTTGACAGGATAAATGAAAAGAACACTTAAAGGGGTGGAGCTGACCCACTGTTAGGAGGAAAAGTTTGCTCAGATTTTAAAAGCTCAATCTAGTATTTCTTGGATCTTGAAATTGTCTTCACAACTCTTTACTTCAAAGGGAATTTGTTTTATGTGTCTGCTTAGAGCATGATTATTCCTTAGAAATAGATCCTAATAGTGATTGCTTTTGTCTACACACAAATCCTCAAGAAATTATAGATTGACATTGTTTAAGCTTGCATATAAAGAATAAGGGTAAGAATATGGTAAAATAATGTCAGTTGTCTGTAATAATCGTCTTAGATAAGCAGTGCATGGCTTATGGAAAGCACACCCGAGCTAGACAAAGGAGGCAGTCAGCAGAGCCTCAGACGCTGAACTCTGAACCCTGGCTGGACCTTGCACAGGGCAGCCTGGTAACAGGAAGGCAGCAAGACACACTTTGAACCAGAGGTTCTAAGGCTGCCGAGGGGTTATAGACAGGGTGACAGCTGCACTTTGCAGCCTGAACTTTGTACCTAGACACAGGGGCATTTAATCTCCATAACAGGCACTTTGTTCCATTACTTATTAACAGTTCCTCCTTGAGTAAAGTTCTTTGTTAATGGAGTTTTAAAAACTGATCTCTCTCCCCCTTACTCTTGCCATGGGGATGGGCATTTGTGATCGTTTGCACTGTCTTTCCCTAATGGGAGGTTGTCCTTCCAGGCGGAGGGCTTTTCTTCTCTTCCAAACTGACCCTAGTAGAGGTGACACTTTGTAATTACAGCTCCGGAGGCAACACAATGCTCTGAAGCGTACACTCAAGAAAAGTAGCCCTGGTCCTGATACCATTAAACATCACATCTGCCAATGAATGATATCAACCCACCGTTCCTCACCATAGGAACTTTTTTCTTATTGCTCTTTTGGCTCACTTTTTTCCCTTTCTCTTCTCTCTTCCTTTCCTTCTTCTTTCTCCATGTTTATCCTCTCAGTGGCACTGAGTTAAGTGATGGTGATGCCCTGTCCTATGCATGATTTCTACAGCCAGAGTAGCTAGGGCATGTTTTGCTGCAATTGGAAGCCAAAGCAATTTACATGCACTTTCAAGATCCTTCTTCCCAAATAAACACATTGTACTTAACTTCAACAACTCAGTAACTGATGTTTAGTAAGCCTGAAGGGTTAGCTATTTAAAGAGAGGGGCTGGGTTGTAGAAAAGGGAGAGTGGAATTATTAGTAAGCTAAGCTGTCCTGACCACCTATAAAATACCTATAAAATCAACATCAATCTTCTTGAAAATACCCAGACTTCCACACTCCAACTCAAGGGAAATTGAGCCAAATTTTGTTCAATACTGATTCATACATAAGTTTTGGTTTCTGGGACCTAGGAGGTAGTGGCTACTGATACTCATTTAGTAGCTAAAAAAGATCAAAGGTATGATCCCTAAACCTTTGCTTAAGGGTTAAGGGGTGACAAGAAACTAACCTTTTACCACTGGGATACTTTGTCTATATAAGGAATAGTTGAGGTCAGTTCAGACAAAATAATTCATCCTCCTCTAATTTTTCTTTTCTGTGTTTAAAAATACCTATATGTGTAGCTTTCATTCAGCAAGGAGCTGCAGGCTTGGAGTTAGCCCTGTATTGGCACCATGCAAAAAAATCCAATTCTCTGTCAACCTTCTCTACTCTCCCATCCCAGGCAGACCTGCAAGTCATTCAGTCCCACCCACCTATCTTTTCCAGTCCTCAAGTATCAAGTCTTTATATGCCACAAATGGTTCAATCAAACTATTCTGAAAGCCAGAGTCGAAGTTTATACATCCATGCCTTACTTCTCTTTTTTTCTCCTACTTTTTTCTCTCTCTGTCTTCCTCTCATTTTCTTTCTATCCCCTTGTCCTCAACTTTTCTTCTTTACTCTTGTTTTTTAGTTAACTTGCACAAAGATAGTTTGCAAAGTCAGCACTGGAGCACAAATGAAAATGTACAGAAGGCACTAAGGCTGTAGTTCAGTGGTAGATTGCTTGCCTAGTAGACAAAATGCCCTGGGTATAATTCCCAACACAAGGAAGGAAAAAGGAAGGAAGGAAAAAGGGAAGGCAGAAAAGAAGGAAGGAAGGAAAAATGTGCAAAAGCAGGTCCAAGAAAATTCAAGCCAGTTATTTGTCTGGATATCGCGAGTTGAATTAGTCATAAGAATAGAAGAGAAATTAAAAGCATCCTTTGGAAGCACTGAGTCTCCGGTGTTAATGTTGAGCATCATCCCTGGGTAATTTACATACTGTCTACATCTCTATGCTTGGCTTTTGAGGTACTACCCTATTTCACAGAAGTGTGACAGGGAGACATAAAACTGGGGCATGAATTTGGCTGATTCTTTGCCAACAATGTACTTTTGGCTTTTGGGACTTGCTTGCAGTTTCTTTGTTTACTGTTTCCTTTTAAAGCACCTCAACACCTGCAGCTGGCTCTCCAGTTCCTCCTCCCAAAGCCTTGAGTTAGGGCTGCACCTGTTTGTCATTTACTCAACCTGAAAAATCATAGGACTCCTCCAGTCCTTTGCCCTGCAATGCAGTTGGATGCTTTGGCAGCACACTTACATCAGCAAAGGCTGCAGACATGGCCTTGATATTCAGTCCCATTTATCCCAGGTAGAATACACCAAGTAACCCTTGATTTATACCTCTCCTCACTCCACCTGACTCTCAATTCCAGAATCTTACCACCTGTTCCAGGAAGATTTAACTGAGTGCAGCAAAGGTGATTATAGCTTGCATAGCCGATTATTATAAGACCCAATGAATAAGATTTTATATGTACCACACCACAATAATTCTAATTTAAAGATGAGACATATAAGGTTTATTGAATTTGTTTTTCAGAGTAAAGCTGAATCCAATGAAACAAACACAATTATCCCATTAGATTCACGAGTGAGAACTTAAAATTATGAGAAATTCAGTATTTCATAAAAATCCTAATAATGCCTTTTAATTGTATGTGTATCCTTTGGGTTCTTCTAGTATATACATTTGTATCCACATATACCCAAAAGAACAGAAGTGAGGAGTTAAGAAAGTCAACAGTATTCTTGTTATGTATTAAGAGGTGTACTGAACAAAATCAGCAACCAAAAACTGTCTATATGAGAATTTACAACAGGCACTTGAGTCATAGAAACATTCAGGCACCCTCCTTTCTTCCTGTAAATTGATGCTTTGAATGATATAGTCACTTCATTACAGTCTGAGAAACTGGAGGAAAGAGATGAAGAAAAGGAAAATAGCAAGTATGGGGGCATTACCACACTGAAGCAAAGAGGTAGAAAAAGGGAAGGAAGGTGAATTCTCTAAGGATGGTGCTTTTGTTGGCTGTCTCAGACCCATCTCATCACTTGCCCTTCTGAAATTTCTAGACAAATTGTTCATATCATCACATTCAGATTTTCTCTTTATAGGAATTAAACTGTCACCGTAGCAAAAAAAGGAATAGAGGATAGTGGTAAATTTTACCTAATATTAAACTATTTCAGATAGATTACAAAGCTAAATCAACTAGTTATTGCTCAATGTAATCAATCAACTTCATGGACCCCTAATTTCTACTTGCAATTTCTTCTTGATGCTAATTTTATATTTATCTTCGACATAGATTTAGGTTAACTGCCTTTGATTATCCAAGATGAATTGCCAAATGCAGAAAAGAGTAAATCCCTTTTTTATTCATTAAGTTTATTGGTACATTTTAGGTATATAATATGATGATATTCACCATTGGGAATCTGTACCTGTACATGATACATCTTGGTTCTTATTTTTTCCCCATTCCCCTGCCCTCCATTCAACCCCTCCACCCATCCCTATTTACAAAGACTTTGTTTCTGTTTTTTCCTTTTCTCATATTATTCCTTTCTCTTCTTTCCTTTCCCCTACCACTCTTTTTAAAATATCATCTAGTTGCTGGTTCTCAGTACTGACATGTACATGAATACATAGTTAATTTTTGTGTTTCTTGTATATTACCACTTATAAAATAAACCTCCAAAATTATTTGATATGAAATCAAAGCCTCATGCACATTTATTCACCTCTTTACTCAAGCATTGTCTATTTCTACCATTATCTCCTCACTGTCAAGCTATTTCCTTTCCCAGTTGTCTCTTCTGTTTCAAAAGTCTGTGAAGGTAAGTAACAATTCTGTTCCTTTGAGTACATCCTTCCTTCACCTCAAGACCTTGAGAAATAACATAATTACTAGGATAGTTTTTCCTATTTAAAAGTGTAGTTTAAGTTCTCCATTCATTGTTGATAGACTTTGCTTTATCTGAGGCTCATCCAACCACATTGTAGCAGCCATGGTCCTCTGGCCCAGGTTGCATTTATTCCTTTAAAATATTAATGTATAGAAGAAAAAAAAAGGAAAAGAAAAAGAATATTTGTGTTTTGGGTTGATATGCCTGGTGGAGAGAAAAGAT